GTATATATATATATATATATATATATATATATATATATGTACACTCTACATTTGGATAAGGTTGAAATGTATTCAAGGCTTTTCACTGCCGATTGTTCATAGTTACGTCACTTTTCAGATAGAGTGGGTCCAGGGTTCGAGTTCCGCTCCATCTACTTCAGCGTGATCAATTGAGTAGTATTAGCAGCCCTCACAATAAGTGTCATTGCCTGGCATTGAGTTCTAGTAACAAACAACGAATACTGGGGATCCAAATGCTACTTCTTGTTTGTCTATCCATAGTGTCGTGAAATTGTAAAAGCTATGTATATTGGGCATGGATATACTCCTAATATGATTCCATCGATTGGTAACTTATCTCTCCATTATGGATAAAATTTTATTTTGGCAAAATCACAGTGTTATGCAGTAATACTTACTGATGACATTATCCATAATGGAGTTAAACTCTACCACAATGCCAAAATTTTATCCTTATATGAGTAACTTGGATTTGTTAGTAAGTTTGTAATCAAAGTTAGGCTCATTCTTTAGTGCCTTAAGAGCCATATTAGGTGACAATGATGTGTGGGGTTGTTATGTCAAAAATAACGATTTTCTGTAGTTGTACAGTGTTTAGCCTTCTATTTAAATTTTAAGGTAATTAACCAGGGTTTTCAGTTATTTCTAATTGAACATAAAATTCTTGCTAAATGTTTGCTTAGCTTATATGTTGATCTGTCTCTAACGATTAATATCAGCATGCACTCCACTGTGAGTATTGGTTTTACGCATTAAGTTAAACCACTGAGACTTGTTTAGATATGGCTTCATCTTACGAATACTATCCACTGTGGATTTTATAAGCTTTTTCGTGACTATATCTACAGGTTTTTAATCCCCTCATATGATTTTGTCTGAACACGTTTACGTTTTGTCCGTAACTACTGTTGAGCTGTCTATATCCGATTTGGGAATTACTATAATATTATCATTTATTGTCCCGTTAAATATTACTTCACTTTATTTGGCTGTTGCAATACTATTGCACATGTCTATCAACCAAGGGACGTGTGTACTGCTCACCAGTTCGCTCCATCCTTCTCTATGGCTCTGAAACATGGCCAATACGAGTTGAAGACATGAAAAGGTTGACTGCTTTCGATCATAGATGTCTACGATCTCTTTCTCACGTTAGGTGGTTTAATAAGGTAAGTAATGTTGACGTTAGGCGTAGTGTTGGCCAAAGAGGAAAATCAATCGACGAGGCTATAAAGCTACATAGATTGAGATGGCTAGGTCACGTGGTGCTCATGCCTAACCATCGCCTCCCGCAGTGGGCATTACTAGCTGATATAGGTGCAGGTTGGAAAAGAGTAAGTGGTGGGTGGCCAAATAAAAACATGTCATCAATCCATGAAATCCTTGACAGTTAAACTGAGTCAGTCAGGTAGGGAGATGCAGACTTCCGGGTTGGGGCCCTCGGGACTAACTCTAAGAATCAATGGCTGGAGACAATAGGTGGTGACATGGCTCAAAATCGTTGTCAATGGCCAGCGCAGATGTATTCAGTCTCTGTAATCTTTCATATTTCTTTCTATCATTACCCATTTTGTTTCACTCTTATACCTGTCAAACTCTATTGATTCTCTTCACTTATCTTCTTGTCTACCTTTGTGTGCTATTTGGAACGTGGCAACTCGAACTGGTGCACTTCGGTGCCAAGTTCTATGTTGAATCCAGACAGACAAACAGTGCACATCGTACCCAGCCTTGAGAAGTAGCCTTACCTACTTCTCTAAGGATCACTTATGTAGTAAGGGCGACATTAAATGTAGTCTGATAGATGTTGTATCATTTTGTACGTTAACAAATGTAGAATTAATTAATATTCTTAGGAGAAGCCTAATTTTCAAATTCTAGTTACCATTCGAGTATACAATTCTCAATGTGTCATTCTTATGCCCTAAATTCTAAATATCTGCCAGCTATGAAAAAAAAACTGGACTTTACTACGACTTTGCTTCCAATAGAAGGGATTTAATTTTGCGGAGAACTTATTTTCTTTAATCGATCGCACTCTGTAGCATATTTCACTAGTTTTCTACTTAAATAAGTTATCAAATATCTCTAAAGAATCATTAACACCAAACCACTCCTAAAATTACAAACGTATTGACAAAAGTTGGTCTTGAAACCTACCTTGGTGTATAAAAGAGTAGAGAAGTTCGTTATGTAATAGGCGTGTGGATTCCTTATACTTGTTCTACTTTAGTACCCTTTAGATGATACTGATAAAAGTAATATCTTTTATTGATTATTATCTTCCTTTCACTTCCTTATTCGTAATTCCCCCAATTTCCCCACTTGTTCCCGCCTAACTTTTTAATTATTGACTCATAAGATGGTGCAGTTGAAGTCCTTTCGTACGATATTGAGGGGTTCTGTATAGCACCGTGAAGCATTCATGCAGGGGGTGCTCGATGTCCAAAATTGACAAGGTGTTCGGGGATAGAGCTGCTAGTATGCTTCTTTTCTCCTCTGGCTAGCCAAGCTGAACAGTGTTCCAGAATACGTTTGCGGACTTGTCGGTGCACACGGCCGATATACTTTGCTCCACACGAACAAGTAAACTGATAAATACACATTGAGGTGTCCAAAAGCGGTATCTTATCCTTAACGTTAGACTAGATTAACTGCCTCCTGGATAATGTGATGCGTAAGGTGACGTAATGTGATGCCTGGAATGTTTTCTTCAGACAACTCTGCCATTTTTCTAATTTCCAATTAGTCACCCTTTCTGGACTACACTATATATTACGTAATACGTTTTCGAGGACAAATTCTAATAGTATCTAATTGGTTTTATGAATTTTTTGTTAAATAAAATTACGATTGTACAGCTTATGACTCAATATGGGAATATTTCATTCATTTCTAATTATTTTTCGTTATCAAGTCAATTTTCTTGACAGGTGATTATTCCATTACGTTGTTTGAAATTTTTTTTCCTAAACAGGCCGCACCAGACTTCATAACAGAAATACTCTACTAAATAAAATGAGATTTGAGACAGTAGGTTTAACTACTCAAAACTAATGTGAAAGCGATAATAACACAAATTTACTTTGTTTTAGATACTATATGGCTATATATTTTGATTTTTACTAAAAATCCAAGTAATTCTACCTAAGAGGCTGTTTCTTCTATAGCAAAACTTTTGGAGAGCTTTTGATTTGACTCTATGAGCAGAATAAGATTATTTTAAGTAATTCAGTAATGAAAAAGTCAAAAAAAAGGAAACCAGTGGTGGCCGAGATCTATAGGTTGAGATATTGCAGTACTTACGAGGAAACTGAGTTTAACAGGTAGGATATTTTTCCAAAGTCACCAAGAGAGCTTCAAAAAAAAACAATATCCACCTTGTAGAACTCAAAACCCAGCCAATGATACTTCTTAGTTCGTGTCTTTTTACCCTTCAATTACTTACAGAGACTGAAATTATTTTCAATAGGACTAATATAGAAATTTTTCTTAGTGTCGATGTTTGAATATCAACTTCAAAGGTTTATTGCTTGATATATTGGTATCAAAAGTCATCCGTTCTCACCATTTGTCTAGTCCTAATGTGTGAGAGTCGTTTTGAGTTAGGTTTAGTTATCCTTTACTAGCTTCCTTTCATAAGGTCTGTAGTGACTATTCAACATAGACACAAGCAAGTGCTTCTAATTTGACAATGTTCCATTGGGGGATAGTTCCTTCTTTGTAGCCATATAAATGTGTTGCAAAAACACTTCTCTTAACCAATCCTGACGTGTCTTTCAGACACCATTCATAGCACAGACCAAGTAATAAACAGAGACTTTAATCTTCAGAAATGTTCCTGGATTTTTAACAAACGTTTTTGTCAGGATGTTTCGCAGTATCATCAGTTGCTTTGACCACCACTGGCTCTTTTCCGATCTGACCCTATGTCAGCTAACATTACCTGTCGAGGAAGGCGATGGATGGCTAGGCATACATAACACATGTCCTGACTATCTCTCTCAGTCCATGTAACTTCACAGCCTCGTCTATTGATTTCCTCTCTTCACCTAGTACTCGACGCCTAACCTCAATATTGCTCACCTTATTATACCACTTCACACGGGAGATAGAACGCAGGCACCTTGTGAAATAGTATAATACGGTAAGCAATATTGAGGTTAGGCGTCGAGTACTAGGTGAAGAGAGGAAATCAGTAGACGAGGCTGTGAAGTTACATGGAATGAGAGAGATAGTCAGGACATGTGTTACTCATGCCTAGCCATCGCTTTCCTCGACGGCCAATGTTAGCTGACATAGGATGGGTCAGATTGGAAAAGGGTCAGTGGTGGTTAGACCAAAACATGGCTTCATCAGTCAATAAAATCCACAGCAGTTAGTTTAAGCCACGTAGGAAAATGTATACTTCCTGGCTGATTGGGGTCGTCGGGATGGTAAAAACCAATGGGAGCTGTAGACAATTAATGATATAGCTCAAAGTTGTTATCATTGGTTGGCGCAGATGCATCCACTCCTTGTGACTTATACAATAAAACTCAATTGTTCTTCGATATTACTATTCATTTTGCGTCATATCTCTGTTTACTGTCTCTATTTTGCATTCCATCTTACTTTCTTCTTCTTCTTCTCTTACTTTGTGTGCTGAGTGTACTATGGCGACTCGAACTGCTGCACATTGGTGTAAAGTTCTATGTTGAAACCCTCGTCGTCAGGTTCAGCAGTCAGTCAGTCAGTCAGTCAGTCAGTCAGTCAGTCAGTCAGTTGGTCAAACTGTCATGATTTCTAACTGTCACTATGTTCATGCGCTAAGTATTAAAATAAGGAGGAACAGAGCTATACTAAATCTTCAGTCCTAAGCTTAAACGCACCTATAGCGTGATAACTGTTAACCACCGGCGTGAATATTTTATCCTTACATATCTTCTATTTCGATGATAGTAGTTTGTTATTTTTTGTTTAACTTTCAGCCTAGTGATATGCGGAGAGGATGTATGCAAAAGAATCGAGAGATATCATGTTATCTCTTGACAAAGATGTCATGGAAAGGAAAGTAAGTTAAACCACATAATTTGAGATGTTAAATTAACTTTCTCAAGCATGTTTTGTATTCTGCATTTTTTGATAATCCATGATGTCAGATTGGTTTGTTCAACCTATGACTCTAAATAAGACAAGGAATTTACTTGTATATTCTTTTGAATACACACTGTTAGAGTTGTAATGTCATTGCAGAATGAAGTTGTTTAAATGGAAGCTAGTAAACAGAGATAGAAGATATTTGGAGGCAGCTGAATCCATACAATGATTAGTTAATTTAACGATTTATAGACTTCCACATCTGATGTGTAAAACTTGTCATGTTAGGCGGTGGGGAAGCAGTCAACAGGAGTTCCTAGACTAGGCTTTCGTGTTTAGTTGCACTTGTTAGTAAGGCGTATCGATGACCTCGAGGGAATTGGTGTCTTCTCGGGGATTTCGACCTGCCTCCCTGAGTTCTGTGGTCAGAAGCACTGGTGACAGTTAGTCACCCATTTTGGTGACTGGTTTGTAAACTTGACTGACAGAATTCAGCTAGTACCACCACTAAGAATTGAAGACATGACATCGGTTGTTTTTATTCCCTTGGGTGCCGAGTGGGAACATAAAGCTTCTACAGCACATTTCATCCTTTTTCTCTGAAGTCTTTTTTAGCTGGCTCCATGACTGCCCGTAAACTTTCACTTACTTTTCACATGGTCTCCGCCGTGTTTCACTCGGGTTCCATTAATGGGCTCGACGCGTTATGTCATTAAAGCCGTTTCCTCGGTGTGCATGTCCGATCCATCTTCATTTCCTTTGACATATTTGTGTTGGGCAGTAGGTTCTTGGTTGATTGTTTATCACAGTTCCTCATCGCCCTTTCACCGGTTACTTCCTAGGGGAATGAAGAAGTGGCTATCTTCCTTTTAATGTTTTGCAAAGCCCATTCATTAATGGGAAATCATTCAATGAGGTTGTCAAGTTACATGGATTCAGATGGTTATAAAATGTGTTATGCATGCATCCTTCTTAGCCATCGATTGCCTTCCCCGACAACGGGTAATGCTAGCTGACATAGGATGGATCAGGTTGGAAAGTAGCTAGTGGGTGGTAAAACAAAAAAACACGACTTCATCAGTCAGTAAAAATCCACAACAGTTAGCTTAAGCCAGACAAGGAAGGAAGGTGTAGACTGCTTGTTTGTGTTTGCCGGGATTCTGAGAATCAGTCTATCTGTCTGTTTTCAACATAGAACTTTGCACATATGTGCGACAGTACAAGTCGCCACACTCCGTGTAGCACACAAAGAAAGAAAAGAAAGTAGAAGAAATGCGTAATGGAGACAGTAAACAGAGATGTGAGACAAAGGAATAGTAGTAACGAAAAACAAAACAGTTTCATTAGAAATCATAAATCACAAGGAGTGGATGCATCTTCACCCCAGCCATTGAGAACGATTTTGAGTCATGTCACCAATTGTTTCCAACCATTGGTTTTTACCCTCCTGAGGACACCAACCAGGAAGCCAGTTTACACCTTCCTACGTGACTGGCTTCAACTAACTGTTGTACATTTCATTGACTGGTGAATCCATGTTTTGGTTTGACCGCCACTAGCTCTTTTCCAGCCTGAGCCTATATCAGCTAACATTGCCTGTCGAGGTAGGCGATGACTAGTTAGGCATGCGTAACGCATGTCCTAACCATCTCAGTTGATGTAGCTTCACAACCTCGTCGATTGGTTTCCCACCCTTACCTAGCACTCGACCGATGCCTAACCTCAATATTGCTCACCTTATTATACCACTAAACAAACACGGGAGATAGAACACAGGCACCTATGATCAAAGACAGCTAGACTGGCTTTTCATGTCTTCCAATCTCAATGGCCATGTCTCACTCACAGTTATAAAGGAGGACGGAGCAGACTGATGAGCAGTACACCCGCCCTTTGGTATCGGATATCGCGTCTACTAGGCCAGAGACGGTGTAAACTGGCATATGCGAAACTAGCCCTTTGTATCTGAGAATCAGTAACTGGAGATAATTGGTGATATGGCTCAAAATCGTTCTCAGTGACTGGCACAGATGCATCCATTCTTGGTGATTTATCGTATCCAATAAAGTTCTATCGTTCAACCATATTACTTTTCTTTTTCCCTTACACACCTGTTTCTTATCTCTTCTTTGAATATCTTCTCTGTTTACTCTCTTCTCTTGCTTTGCGTGTTGCATGGAGGGAGTATGGTAACTCGAACTGTGTTGCACATCTATGCAAAGTTCTACGTTGAAACCAGTCAGTCAAAGCCCATTAATGTGAATGCAACTATTATTGTGACCAGCTGTAATCCTATTCCAAGCTAACATTGTGTGTCGAAGAAGTGTGCGGCTCGGTACATGTAATACACGTCTTAGATATGTGAAATGATGCGACTCTACAATCTTATCGATTGACTTCCCCTTCCTAACAAATAGTTTATGGCTAACCTCATTACGACAAAAGGAAGATTGAATAAAGGCATGTTTTTTTTTAAAAGACTGCTAGTCTTTTCTTATTCTAAACTTCAACAATCATATCTCACAGTTGTAAGGTAGGACAAAGCGAACTACTATTTAGTATATACTACTTCGCTACTACGGAGTGCCCCATCGACAATTATACATCTCATTCAACAGTTATACGACAATGCTGCATGCCAAGTAATCCACAAAGGGAAACTTACGGAAGCCTTCAAAGTGAGAACGGGAGTGCGACAAGGCTGCCTACTATCGCCAATGATCTTCCTAAATGCAGTAGATTGGATATTGAGACAAACAACGGCAACTAACGAGGGAACAGGCATAAAATGGACTCACTTTTACAAAAAAACTTGGAGGATCTGGACTTCGCCGATGATATATGTCTGATTTCCCACAAACTGGAAGATATGCAAGTGAAAAGCAACACGCTGGCAGATGAAGCATCCAGAGAAGGTAGGACTTCAGGTGAACATAGATAAAACAGAGGTGATGAAGATTCCTGGCCAACACAACAACAACAACAACAGACAACAATCAGCCAGCATAAATGGGAGGAACCTGACAGAAACAACCTCCTTCACCCATCTACCTACCTGGGAAGCATCGTTTCAACTACAGGCCAAAGGAACTGACGGGGATATCAAAGCCAGAATCGGAAAACGAAGACAAGCTTTCATTACTCTCAAGTCTGTGTGCAGGTCAACAGCACTTCAGAATCAAAACAAATAAGATCCTGATTTTCAACTCGAATGTGAAGTCAGTGCTACTCACTATGAGGATCAGAGACTTGGCCAGCGCGTCATAAAGAACACCTCAAACAAACTTCAGACCTTCATTAACAATTGTCTTCGCTCAATGCCATTCAAGATCAGATGGCTGGCCAGAAAAGATCAGCAACACGGATCTCTGGTGATGAGAGAACCAACCAGGAACCGATTGTGCAACAAACGGGCAGGAAGAAATGGAGGTGGATTGGATTGGCCATACTCTGAGGAAACCATCAAGTGACATCACTAGACAAGCCATTGCTCGAGTGGAACCCGAAAGGGAAGCGGCAAGTTGGTCGTCAGTGCAAGGGTGACTTGAAGGAGGTCATATGAAGAGGAGACGAGAGCATGTGGGCAGACTTGGAGCGGGATGAAAAAGTTGTCAGAAAACCGAAGGCAATGGAGACGCGCAACTGAAGCCCTATGTTCCTCTAGAAATTAAAGGATATAATAATAATACACGTTTTTTGACGGATAGCCTAGTGGTATTTTTCTGTCACCGAAGATTAAAAAAGCTGGTAAGTGCCGAAAACAAGCCTTTATGTATGTTTCTGTATTTCAAACGAGTTTGATTAAATGTTAACATTCACTGATTGAAGTCCGTAAGGGAAAATGTTCAAAATGTATTATTTTTCCCGCATTTTTGTTCAGTCTTTATTGATTTCCTTTTAGGGCCCATTTACAAATTTGCTGTCGTAGTTGGGTTTTATACATCTACTGTTTGATACTTGCAGTAGCTTGAACTGGGTTGAATTTTGAATTGTGCTTAGATTCGTATTTTTTATTTTTAAAATAATTCGATTCACTTTCACAACCACACTTTCTCCCATCTGTTTTTTATTCATTTCACAGTTATAAACGTCTGTTTACAATCGGCACACTCGGTGTAACGACGTATAATAAAGATACCTTAAGAGTGACAAATCAGGTTAGCATAAATATATGTGTTTTTTTTAATACTTTTCTGACTATTAAGCGTAACCTGACACTGTCTTTAAGATTTATTTAGTTAATACAGGCTTCTTTTATTTTCATTTAGTTATGTTCTCTAAGCGTCGGTGGCACAGCAGTTAGGATGCTCGCCGATCATGCACATGGTACGAGGTTCTCTAAGCTGGTTGATTTATTGATTGCGAAGCTTTCATTATCCTTTTGTAGATATCATCGCTTCAGCGCATGCTTTAATATGAAGTGAACTCGCTTAAATTCTCTCTCCCACGTGAATATGATATAATTGTATCGCCTCCTGACAACCATTGTTGTGATTGGTTGTCATCTTTATTGATTTGAAATTGAAACCTTTTTATCATATAGCTTATTCATTATTAGTTATAAGTTTGATCTATAGAGTACTGTTGTAACAACAGAAGGCCAGGGCCAGGCAACAGATCGTTTATTTACGAAATCAACACACATATTTATAGATTTTCATGTACATTATTATAGATTATTGTTAGCAGAAAAACATCGTCTTTTGATTGGTTGTTTCTCACTTACTGAAAGTTAATCTTTCATCTCTTTGTGGCTGTTTCTTGAGTGTCAGATCATCTATATGCTGATTGTATCTGTCTACTCAAAGTCTGGTGTGGTTGGTTGTTGAATCAGTCTTTGTTCATATTTTTTTTCTCACGACACCAATATTAGGGACGTAAAAATTGACGTAAATTACTGTCTACCAATTTCGCCTGCAGCAGAATATTGAATAAAGTGATTGCATCGGCTTGTCCACTATGTCTATTTCAAATGGTCTTAAATATTCTAGCCATTATCTTAGAGATATTCTGTGCATATGGGGTAGAATCATTTTTCTTGTGGATGGTGTCTTCTTGGTATGATTTGATTTGAGTTGTATGGGTGTCCCTTTTATTTGAAGACTGTGATAAATGTTTCTCTCTCTTTTGTTCTCCTGAGGACTTGGAGTGCTGCAGTCTGTTTCAGCTCTTTTAAGCAATCTTTGTAGGCATTTTTTTGTGTAGCATCCGATTATATTACTGTTATAGTTGAGTGTTTGATCCTCTGTGTGTGCGTGTATGTGCGTGAGTGCCAGTTTTCTGTGTATACTTGTGTTTCCAGATTTCATATGTTTGTCCTCTTGATGATTAAGACATCTAAGAATGGAATTTCCTGCTCTGATGCTTCTCCTCTTGTGTGGATTTAATGCCTTCAAATTTGTTGTTAATTAGTTGATTATCGGGTGTATTCCAAATCATTTAATTGAATTTTAGATTTTCCCATCGATTGATTGAACCGAAGTGCTCGGTCTCAGATTGACATGTGCCGGCTTCTTGTTCAGATGCTTCGACAATGTCTGGGCATGTAATTAGAATTTAATTGGTGGATGGTGACTAGCAGTGGAATCCAGTCAGGATAACGCGCATTTCCTCCTATTTGGACTCGTCCTCCAGCTGGATGTACCTGCATTCAATTAAATAGTTAATATGACCCGTTGCACAAGAGGCATTGGCTCTCGTGGCCCAAGTGGTTAGTGGATAACTCTTTGGCGTTTGAAACTATGGGTACTGGGTTCGAGCCTCCGTGGTGGGAACATCACCTCTCACTGACTGGGGAATGCAGGTGCATCCAGCTTGAGGAAGAGTCCCAAATAGGACGAAATGCGCGTTATCCTGGTGGATTCCACTGCTAGTCACCATCCACCAATTGTATTCCAAATCATTTCTTGTAATTATTTATTTTTATTCCCGTCGTATGGTTAAAGTTACTTTTTCGAAACTTTGCCAAATAAATCGTTTTACCACTTCTACGGATTAATTGTCCCTCATCGCAGCGACTGTTCACTTATGTGCTATCGTGGAACAACCTCATTATTTCAAGGTAGACTGACAAAGTAAGCTCACCAAACAAAAGATTCAAAGTAGGACTCTTTAGGAGTTAATATTTCACTTACTCACTTTTATGTCTGTAAGCCCTCATAGTATTTGAACGACTGAGTTACATACCATTGTTTACAGGATTTCATTATGAGCTGACATTGGTTAGGAACCATTGGAAAACCAACTGGGAGTACTGGACAACTGTTTCGTCCTAGTTTGGGACTCTTCAGCAGTACGCACCCACCGGGGCTCGAACCCAGGACCTTCTGGTTACAAGGCCAACGAGCTCGTAGACCATTCAGCAGCCACTGGGACCCGATCCAATGGCCCATTAATTCTAACTTCTGCCAATTCACGATATAGCGCCACCAATGCTTGACATCCCATTGTGTTTACCAATTTAATATGCATGTACATGCATACGGAGGAGCCATCAATCTCTCAACAGATTTTGGCTACAGAGCGCATTCATAAGTAGCTGAGATTGCAAAGCAAATAAAATATTTTTCGATAAACGGAATACTATTCACTGTCAGTTATTGCTTTCGCATGTATTGATTAGTAGTGTTTAGATGAAATTTGTGTTTGTTAGTACTTGCTATAATATATACTTGGATATGTGTAGTGTGTGTGCGTGTGTAGGTGTAATGTAAACTTATCTTGATGATGAATAGATTTCAGTTAGTAGCAATGACTGTGGATAACTGGATCAATGAATTCATGTTGCATCTCAATGACTTTTTACCGATAAGTAGGTCTGGTGATATTTGATAGTTAGAGGCAATCGGCCACAGGAAGAGCCCCACTTGACTTAGTCTTCGTGCTAGTTGGCACTCACCAGTCACTAAGGCGTATCTGCAACTTTAAAGGAACTAATGTCCCTTCTGAGATTCGAACCCGCATTATCCAGTGCTGCAGTCAGAGATGTTCACTGTGATGATGAACTACCTAGAATGGTGGCCACATTGCAAACCTGACTGATAGAATTTAGTCTGCACTGAAGAAAGGACTAGACACGTCACACTGTTTATTAGTGTCCAATCCAAAGTATCCACTACAGTCCTACAGGAGGTCAATCGCGAGCCCGAATAGCTCAGTGGTAACGTCTCTTACTGCAGCCTGCACTGGGTGACGCGGGTTCGAATCTCAGAAAGGATATGAGTTGTTCCTTCAAGGTTGTAGATACGCCTTGGTAACTGATTGGTGAGTGGCAGCTAGCACGAGACCTAGTCCAAGGCTTCCCGTGGTTGATTACCTCAAACTATCTAATATCATCAAATCAATGTACACCGTGATGGCGAGCTACCTAGAATGGTGGCTACATTGCAAACCTGACTGATAGAATTCAGTCTGCACCAAAGAAAGGACTATACACATCACACCAGTTAATTACTAGTGTCCAATCAAATAAGTAGTTCTTTTGATAAATATTTAGATTGTAATGTGGATCTCAGGTTCATCAGTTAGAGAACGATTGAAAACCAGCAGGGAGTGCTGGGCAACTGTTTCGCCTCACCCCAGGACTCTTCATCAGTACACATCCACAACCACCTGGGACTGGGGATCTAGACCAGGATCTTTAGACTAGGAAGTGAACTCGTTAACCATTTTGTCATTGGGTCAATTTACGATATGGCATCACCAACTAACCAGTATCCTTGTTAAGCAGCCTGTGGCCTATGCTACTGATCGAATTTATCAGTAGTACATAAACAGGGTGTTAATTGGCATAAAAAACATCAAATAACAGAGAGATCAATTTGCTGTCAGAGAAAGCAGATGATACAGCGTTGTGGAGATACATGGGAGACGTTAAAGGAACACAAAGAAGCCCAATATGAAGGAACGACAGAGGTAGCACATCACGGAAGATCTGTGCAAATAGTGCTTTGAAAATATGGTATACATAATTTCGCCATATATAGAGATACCAAATTGCAAATAAACATTCCTTTACCAAGCCTCTCATCTTCTACCGTTGCAGGCCCACATCACTCTATTTTTCAATGACTTTTTTAACTGATCTTGATTCATGGTGGAATTTACATTGAAATTACCTCGAATCTACTTAAAAGCTGATAATCAGGATATTTGTGTTGATTCCCATGTCGTCTACACCAAAAAGTATACCATTTCAGTTCCTAATAGAGAAGATTTGTAGCTTAGGTGGATGATTTGCAATTAATAGTGTTCTCTGAGCTGGTTAGTTTAGTTGTGGAGCTTTCGTTGTCCTTCTAGACAATATCAGTGCAGCATTTAGCATAAAGTGAAATGATTTAAATTTCTTCATGAGTGAGTGATATAATTGCATCTCCCGGTAACCATCTTTACATATGTACTGACCATTTTATATTGACTTGGATTTTAAACTTTCTGGCCACCTGATTTACTTTTTATTAGTTGATGGTATATTTGGTCTATGTTTACATGTTTGTTAATTGCATTTTCGTTCGAGTACCAGGCTTGGCTTCTAGGAATTCCCTGACTGCACTTTTGGTGGTGTTTCCTCTGTCTAAGATTTCGACATTATCCCAATCATCAAATTGATGTCAATAACTGTCTATATGCATTGATACTAAAGAATTTATATCATGTCTTTTCACGGCTGATTTGTGTTCCTGCATTCTAATTCGAAGGGGACGCCCACTTCGGCCGATGTAATGCCTGTTACAGTTCATACATGCAATTTATTTTGTAAATGGTATTAATTTTACCTCCTTTTTCTGTTGAATGGGTCTTTCGGTTTGCATAATACCGAATTAGGCGATTTGACTGGCTGACTTGTGTGATACATCTATATCAAACGGTTTCAGTGTTTAAAGTCGAATCGAAACACCAACAAGGAACCATCATCAAAGACCACAAGAAAATTCATCCTACCATGCATGAGAAATATCTCTGAAATAACAACTACAATACAGATAGGAGTATGTAATTATCTATGCAATGTGTAAATATCATATACAAAAGTTGTATACTAGATTTGTAAATGGCTTAATATTTACCATAAACCCATTTCTTTCTTTATCTCTTTTATACATGTGTATATACTTATACCACTTAAATCAAATAATAATTTCATCTTATTTCATTCATTTTATTAGTGGACATATGAAGAAATTTTTGAAGTGCGAGTAGATCATAACACAAAATCGAGTCAACCGCATCTTAAACGTTTTATTATGGATTTATTGGATTCGAATCGTAAACGTCATGAGTTAACATTTGCTACAGAATATCGTGTTGAATTATTATCAGATTTATTGGTAAGAATTTTCCCGCTTTACCTGCTTATATATATATATATATATATATATATATATATATATATATATATATATATATATATATATATATATATATATATATATATATATATATATATACTGTCCACGAATGCACACATCAAGCAGAAAACAGTGAAAAGCAACAAGGGCTACTGGGCAGCTGTTTCATCCCAGCTTGTGACCCTTCAACAGTAGGCCTCCATGACAGTCCCCCAAAAGGGATTGAAATCAAGACCTTCAGGTTAAGAGGGGAAACCTTCGACCGTTCAACCAGTGGGAAGGAATTCAATGGTCTATCAATTTTAACTTTTGCCAATCCGTGGTTTTAAGGGGGGGGGGAACCTAATCGTCATGAACTATTCATCTCTGCTGCTTTCGCTTGATAAATGTAGATCGGTTGGCTATAGTTAGAAAGGAGGATAGGCGACAGGAAACTCTGGAAACGAACCAATCAACAACCTATCGTGCAACTAATACGCCGGAGGAAATAGAGCTAGATCAAACACACTCTGAGAAGACTGTTGACCTACATTACGCGCCAGGCAAAACCTCGAATGGAACCTGGACGAGAAACAACAACAAGTTTGGCGTAACTTCGAGGTTAATGTGGAAGAGATGAAAGCTTATGGGGGAATCGTAGAGCCAGCTAAAGATGCCTATAGGGAACACGGGACAAAGTGAAGGTGTGTTGTTGAAGCCCTATCTTCTATTCGGTACCCAAGGGAGTAATAAATATAATATTCACGCTCCTTTAACTAATATGTGTAGAGTGGTATGAATGATTAGTTCAAACAGTCAACAGGAGCAAGCAGGAACTCCACCCAGCTCCATCCATTGTAAAATATTAATCAGTAATCACTTTATTCTATAGGTTCTAGAGTAGGTTTATTAGTTCTTTTTTCTGCCAGTTGTCTCTTCACACAACACTGGCGTTAAATAATAGACTGGTTGAACTTTTCATATTCATTCAGCCACACGAGCATACATTGCCTCCAAAGCCTCAGGATGGTCGGGGGTGGGTGCCTTGCGCTGCGGGTTGGCCACCCCTCCGTACACCTCTTGAAATGCTCCCATATGACCGGGCGTCTTACATGGCCTCTCCTGAGGAAGTCCTACTCACTGCCTTCACGTGGCGGAGGTGTTTTTCACCGAAGTGAGAGGGCAAAAGCGGATGCCCGGCGCTCTTCACCGGGTTGACTGTCCATTGGATGACAGTCTAGGGGAGATGGCTAAACCCTGATTCAAAACCTCCAACGACTGGCGTAAGAAGCCCACCGGAGCTCACCGGCAGACGTATGGACAAAGGGCTTATTGGATGCCCTGGATATCTGGCCCCATTCAAAAAGGTGTATGAACCGGACTCTAGTCACCGGCTGCCAATGGATAGTGGACTCCCTACTCCACTCCTACTGCCTTGTAGGTCACATTTGGTTGTGTAAAGGCTAGAGCTGCACTCTCAAACAAAAAGCCGAGCGATGCTGGGGGCATCACTCGTACCTAATTCCCATGAAACTTCATGAACTCTCTAAACATCAACCAAATTCCAGTACTGGTCCAACAACGTCGCCTTCGGTGGTTTGGCCATGTTCTGCACCGACCAGATGACGATCTGGTCAAATCAGTTCTAAATCTCTCGCCATTTCCTTCTTGGCGATGTCACAGGGGTGGACAGCTGAAAACATGGCTTGGTACAGTCAAGGCTGATATGGAGTGCCTGGGGCTACAAACCGTCTACAGACTCCGTCTGTGGAACAAGAATTGGATAACCCTGTCGCAAAACCTTGCATCACATCGCCGCGCCTGGGCAGCGATGATTCGAGATGTTCATGAAGCCGGCTCATCCTCCCGTAGGAGATAGCCGAAGTAAAGTAAAGTAGTAAGTACAAGCATACATTCTTATGGAATTTCTTCTGGCTTTACTCCCGAAGAGATACAAGGAAAAAAATTGCGAGCGAATAAAAAGTATTTCCAATATCTGACATAGATGACCTTTTTTTTCTTACGAGTTGATGACCTTAACCAATTTATTTGAACAAATTAAAGTGCTTATTGTGCGTCAGTGGTGGCATAGCGGTTAGGACGCTCGCCGACCATGCACATGGTCCGGGGTTCGATCCCCGGCCACCAACGCACTCCTTTACCTCGCTAAGCCAGAAATAATGCTGTCTGTCTGTCTGTTTTCGACATAGAACTTTGCACAAATGTGCACCAGTTCAAGTCGCCACATTCCGTGTAGCACGAGAAGCAAGAGAAGAAAGTACAAGAAAAGCATAATAGAAACAGTGAGCAGAGGTGTGAGACAAAGGATTAATAAAGAAAAACAAAACAGTTTCATTGAAGATCATGAGTCACAGGGAGTGGATGCATCTGCGCCACTGAGAACGATTTTCAGCCATGTCACCAATTGTTTCCAACCATAGATTTTTACCGTCCCGAGGACCCCAGCCTGGAAGTCTACACCTTTCTACGTGGCTTAGACCAACTGTTGTGGATTTCATTGACTGATGCCAAGTTTTTGTTTGACCGCCGCTAGCTTTTTTCCAGCCTGACCCTATATCCGCTAACATAGCTCGTCGAGGGAGGCGATGACTTGGCATACGTAACACATGTCCTAACCATCTCAGTCTTTGTAGCTTCACGACTTCGTCGATTGATTTCCCCTGTTTACCTAGAACTCGACGCCTAACCTCCATGTTGCTCACCTTATTATGCCACTTTACACGGGAAATAGAACGCAGGCACCTATGATCAAAGACAGCTAGTCTTTTCATGTCTTCCACTCTCAGTGCTAGTAAATAGGGAAGGCTGGGCATGACGCTGGCTAACAACCCCATCCTGTAAAAATAAACACCACTGCTACAGAAACTTCAAGCCACTAGCTTGAAGCCCCCTATGTTCCACTGGGGAACGTGAAGTAAAAAAAAGTGCTTATCAGCGACAATGTCAGTTAGTTGGATTAGAGGCACGCCACTAATCGTGTTCACAGCCTTCTCTCTCAGAAGCTCGAGATAGAATAGGGTGGAACAGTAAAGGAGGATGGATAGAATACATGAATTCATTATCTTTAAAATATGCTGCTGAATTATCCTTCGAAGCGTCAAAGCAAAGATTTTATTCTTGAAATTGACATGATATTAGACGACAAAAAAAAAGATTAGACAGAAAAAGCAACAACTGGTACTGAGATAAGTAATATTCGATATTCGTTGATGTTGGTGGAATAATCATGTAGTTGAAGCAGTCCACATGTGTCTTGGTCAAGCCTGAAACTAAGATTAACAGTCTGAGGAGTTCAGTTTTCAGACCATTTGATCAATAAGATCACTAGTTAACTTCAGATAGGAAATTCTTCATATGAGTACTATCTAATTCAGAAACAACTGAGACAGAGTCTGTCAGGTTGTCAGCATAATTAATAATGAAATTGATTGATTAAAAATGTTCATTAAAACTTTTCAAAAGAATAGTTACTGAACAAAGAATAGTCTTGTCGATAACCTGCTCTTCATCAGGTTCTACAGTTGTGTATATACATTATAGTGAATGAATGAATTAGTGTTATGAACAACATTATTGCTGTCTAAATAACATCGAATCAATAATCACATTGACAGATTACAGCTCAATACCATCAACATGACAATAAACTGAATTTCAAAAAATTGGGAAAGATAATAATGCAAATTCATGAATTTATACTATCCACTGAAAGCCAGCCAGGGCAGTAGAAGTGGCTGGCCGGTTGGACTTGCTTCTTCGGCATACAGACCACCGGTTGTTTCAGGCAATTCGCGATAGCATCTGCTGTTTGGAGTATGCGGTGCCTGGATGCTTTTGGCAGTTTGTTTGACACCCAATAGATAATAGAGAAGGATTCTTCAATGCTTAATGGCTTTGTGGTCGGTTTGGACCAGATAGTCTAATGTCGAACTGTTAATGGTTTTTACTGCACTTTTACTTAGCCACACTGGTAGGTGTTCCCGAGCGAGCACGAAAAATTAGGTTCCTAGAGCAACGGTCAATATAACTCGTTCCATCACAAACGCATTTGAATTGGTAGATACAATGAGAAGTGGCTAGTCTAGGCACTTCATCTTTTAATAGAGGAATCACCACTGGTTGAGTAGAAAATAAGACTTGTAATTTGCCAGTATTAAAAGTTTTTAACTTCGTGATTATTTGCCTTGATTAAATAAAGGTTAATTAGAAGCATCAACAGTTCGATATTAGACCACCTGGTCCAAACTGGCCAGAAAGCTAGCGTTGAAGAATCCTTCTCTATCATCTACTGGTTGCCAAATAAATTGTCAAAAACATCTACCTCTACCGCATACTCCAAACAACAGAGACTGTCGCGATTCGCGTGAAACAACCAGTGCTTTGTATGCAGAGGAAACACGTCCAGCCAGCCACTACCACTCCCTGGCTGGCATTCAGGAGAGACTATAAATTCATGTATTTGTAATATTATCATTCCTAATTTTTCTGACATTCAATTTATTGTTATGTTGATGCTATTGAACTGTAATCTATTGATATTATTATTGATTCGATGTTGTTTACACAACACTGATGTTGTTAATGACAGTAATTAATTCACTATTATGAATATATAACTGTAGAACCTGAGGAACAACAGGTTATCGACAAGACTATTCTTTGTTCATTAATCATTCTTTTGAAAAATAATGAAATTAATTTCAGAAGAGGTTGAAACAGTTAGGTAGTCAGCATCTATAGCCTTGATCACTAGCAGATCGTATTCATTATCCATTCTATGAATACGCTTGAAAGTCTTGAATGATACTTCTTCACTAACTTGCCATTTTAGTTTGCTCTCTGCAGTCCTCTATACCTGGGCTGTACGATTCCCCATTGGCTCTCATCTGCTCCACATCCACCTCGAAACACGACGCCAAACTTGTCGTTTCCCATTTGGGTTTCATTTGAGGTTCTGCTCGAAACGCGATGTCACTCAACAGTTTTCTCAGTGTGTGTGTGCGTGTGTCTGATCTATCTCCATTTCCTCCGGCATATTTGTTGGACAGCAGGCTACTGTTGATTGGTTCGCTATCACAGTTTCTTTTCGCTTCTCCTCCTTTCTGACTGGCTATCTGATCTTCAGTATTGGGTGGAGAAGCGGTTGATTAAAGTCTCCAGCCTGTTAGAAATGCTTCTGATGATTTAGGAATCCTAATGCACAAAATTCAGGGTGATTAAGCACCAGTCCATGTGTCGATTAGTACTAAAAATGTGTGCATGTATGTTAAATATATGCGTGGGTTTCTATTCACGTGACAGATGTGTTATAAGTAATAACACAGTGTTTAATCTGATATGTACATACTAATTAATTAATTACCCTTAATTACGTCATTCACTTTGTTTCTCTTCTGATTGTCTTTTCAGCAATTTCGTGATCGATTCATAAAGGAGAATAAACCAAATGTGGTAGGTTTTGCAAGTTTATTGTTGCCTACACCTACGCCCATGTCTACGCCTATACACTATATTCTACTATATGATTTTTGTTTAAGTGTAGAGAGGTATAGATAGACAGACAGACAGACGAACGGATGGACAGACAGACAGGCAGGCAGGTAGAGAGACAGACACAGAGAGAGGCAGGCTATCTGCTTCTTATTTCGCATACACTCATATACACTATGGGCACCAATAGATGCACCACACGAAAACTATGGTGTGTGCCAGGACTGGGATACTACTACCCGGACTCTCAAACCGAAGCAAGTTTTCGTCTCAAAGACCATCCTTTGAGCCTTTAACTTGAAGTCAGATCCACAAGACAGCAGACCAGCTCCAGGAGCTATCTTCCCGTGAATGAAATAGGTTCATACACCAATCGATCCTTCCGAATTCTGGGGGCAATGTACACCATAGATATGGAACCAGAGTTTTTGCAGCTCCTCGAGGTAGACCTGAATGTCCGTCAGTCTACTTGTAAGTACCAGCTGCTTACAGTCACCCTTTCAATTCTGGAAGGTATTACCAAATTATTGAGATTATTAGCTCTGATAACATGTCGAACTGCGTCATGCATACCCCCCCCCCTCAGTTGTAATACTTGATTAATGGAATTTCACTCAACACTCAGCTGTGATATCATGCATTTGGCGATAAGCAGCCATACCTATTGTGCAAGGACTGGTGATATGACCTAGCTACTACTGCCCAAACCTCAGTGGGCGGGATAGCGCTAAAATCCGTGATCCAGTAGTTGGAAGTCGAGTGCCTAGACCACTGAGTCACAGTTCTACATAGAATCTTGAATGTGTATAGGCAACAATACAAATTATCAGACAGTGTTGTAAGTCTTTACGGTATCACCTTATCAAACTTCTCACCGTGTTGCATAATGTCTTATATTCGCTTACCAGTCTTGTTAATTTTACACCTCTTTCTAAGAATTTATGTACTTCACTACCTATTTTATCGCTTCATGTTTAACTCGGATTTTTATTTGTTCCTATAATCACATAAGTATTTTGTCACAGTTCACATTATTATTCATACGGGATATTTTGTTTTCATTCCTCTGCGTTCCGAGTGGAACGTAGGGCTTCAAACTTTTGGTTTAAAGCTTCAATGCTGACGGTGTACTTGACGGGATGGGGTTACTAGCGCCTCATGCACAACCTCTTCTCTTTACCAGGCTTACTAGCAGCTAAGCGAGGTCTAGGAGTGCGTCTGCTTGGAATCGCACCTCGACTACTTGCGTCATTGTCTAGCATATTACTATTAAACCTCCGATGCAGGTTGTATATATGACAGTACACCTTGTTAAGAAATTCTTCAAAACAGTGTTCTCTTTATCTACGTGTCCCGATTGGAATTTTCCGCGAAGTATTATTATTATTATCTCCATTAATTCCTAAAGGAACATGGGGCTTCAGTTGCGCATCTCCATTGCCTTCGGTTTTCTGCCAACGTTTTCACCCCACTCCAAGTCTGCCGACATGCTTTCACCTCCTCTTCACATGACCTCCTCCTCCATGTCACCCTTGCACTGACGACCAACTCGCCGCTTCCCTTTCGGGCCCCACTCGAGGACTTGTCTAGTAATGTCACTTGATAGTTTCCTCAGCGTATGGCCAATCCACCAACCCCATTTCTTCCTGCCCGTTTGTTGCACAATCTGTTCCTGCTGAGTTGGTTCTCTCATCACCAGAGATCCGTGTTGCTGATCTTTTCTGGCCAGCCATCTGATCTTGAATGGCATTGAGCGAAGACAACTGTTAATGAAGGTCTGAAGTTTGTTCGAAGTGCTCTTCTTGACGCGCCAAGTCTCTGATCCATCCGCATAGTAGCACTGACTTCACATTGGAGTTGAAAATCCGGATCTTATATTCGTTTTGGTGCTGATTAGTGCTGTTGACCTCCACACAGACTTAGGAGTAATGAAAGCTTTCTTCCTTTTCCGACTCTGGCTATGATATCCTCGTCAGTTCTGTGTGCCTGTAGTTGGAACGATGCTTCCCAGGTAGGTAGAGGAGGCTGTTTCTTTCAAGTTCCTCCCATTTATGCTGGCTGATTGTTGTCTGTTGTTGTTGCTGTTGGTGTTGGCCAGGAATCTTCATCACCTCTGTCTCCACCTTCTCTATGTTCACCTGAAGTCCTATCTTTGATGCTTCTTCCATCGCCAACTTGTTGATTTTCACTTGCATATCTTCCAGTTTGTGGAAAATCAGACATATATCATCATCGGCGAAGTCCAGATCCTCCAAGTTTTTTGTAAAAGTGAGTCCATTTTATGCCTGTTTCCTCATTTCCCGTTGTCTGTCTCATTATCCAATCTACTGCAATCAGGAAGATCATTGGAGATAGTAGACAGCCTTGTCTCACTCCCGTTCTCACTTCGAAGGCTTCCGTAAGTTTCCCGTTGTGGATTATTTGGCATGCAGCATTGTCGTATAGCTGTTGGATGAGATGTATAATTGTCGATGGGCACCCCGTAGTAGCGAAGTAGTTTCCAAATGACCTCTCGATCGACGCTGTCTAGTGAAGGCCTTTTCATCAAAGTCGATGAAGTTGAGTGAGGTGGAGAGGTGACAGCCATTCCAACCTTTGTTCAATGATGATCCATAGAGTGGTGATTTGATCAATACATGACTTGTTTCTCCTGAATCCAGCTTGTTCCGGTCGAAGTATTTTTATCCAGGTTGGCGTGTTTGATTCTCTCCAGGATGATGCGGCTTAGTATTTTGCTTGGGATGGACAGGAGCATAATTCCACGCCAGCTTTTGCATTGACTTAAGTCTCCTTTCTTTGGTAGTTTGAATAAATATCCTTTCTTAAAATCCTCGGGTACTTTGCTCTCTTTCCACACCCTCTCCAGCAATGGCGTCATCAAGTCTGCTGTTGTCTCTGGGTCCATTGTCAATGCTTCTGCTGGGATTCCATCTGGTCCTGCTGGTCACGCGAAGTACATTGTCACATAATTAGTAAACCTTGAAATTGGTGATATAAATGAAGGTAAACAGGATAGATATGAAAGACAGTCGATCCCCCATGGTGATTGCAGTGACCTGGTTAGTACTTGAGTCTCGTAGGTCAACTGGTAAATCGTCAGACTATAGTAATTCGAAGCCCTCTGGTTCGAATTCTGCCATATGACCCAGATTTACATTTCATCTTCAGTCATCACTCAGTGAAACAAAGTTGGTATACTCAAATCTTTGAAAGTAAAATAGATTTTACGTGTTGTAAACAAATTTTGATCTGTGAGAGTATTTTTGTAATCACCGATTATTGATATCGCCCGGGGGATATATCTCCTCTACTTGAATCATTCTTATCCTTGTCCCAACTGAATTCTATATTACTCTACTATGTTTCTGGCTGACTAAAAATTTAATTTGCATTGATGAAGTCGGTTTGTTGGTTTGCACAGTACAGTACATCAAGGGGGAAGTAAATTAATTTTTTACTCGCGAGAATCACACACACACTTCAGACTAAATAACCATGAAGGGTTGTTATGGGTGCCAACATTTTCGATATTTCACAGTAATATTGAGGTTGAAATAGGTGTCATGAGTTGGGCAACTGACACGCTGGTCGCCAATACCAGTTGACTGTGCCAAAAAATATTATACGACAGCTACCAGTTCTCCGGCCCGCATATTAGGTGGCATAGTAGGGTGAGTAAGGAGGGGAAATTGATTAACAAGGTTGTAAAGTTACATCGATTGAGAGAGATAGTCAGCATATGGTCAGGATATGTGCTACGCTTGCCTACCAATTGCCCTCCTCGATGGCAAGTATTAGCTGATATATGATTAGGTTGGAAAAGAGCTAGTGGTGGTCAAACTGAAACATAGCTTCATCAGTCAGTGGAATCCGCAACAGTTAGTTTAAGCCAGGTAGTCACGTCGGGAGGTGTATACTTCCTGACTGATTGGGGTCCTCGGGATGGTAAGAACCAATGAAGGCTGGAGAAAATTGGTGATATGGCTCAAAATTGTTCTCAGCGATGGCTGGCGCAGATACATCCACTCTTTGTGATTTATGGTATCCAATGAAGGTCTGTTGCTCTTCCGTATTACTGTTCTTTTTCCCCTACTCACATTTGATGAGTCTCTCTTTACCCTCTTCTCTTGCTTTGTGTGGTACATGGAGGGAGTGTGGCAACTTGAACTGCTGCACATCTGTGCAAAGTTCTACGTTGAAACTGGTCAGTCAGTTCCAAGCCTGCCACCCAACGTCGTGAGGTGAAAAGTATATTTCGGTATTAGCCATGGTGTATTTTACACAATAATGTATGACTGGAAAAATCATCAAGGCCTCCGTCAATGAGTCTTCAATTATGATCAATAAAGTAGTGGGGATTATTTTATGTGGGCTAATTTTGATTGGTTTATTTCCAGATTGACCTTGATTATCATATCATCAATAAAGGATAATCCGCTGTCTATCTGTCTACACATCACGAGTAGCAATCTTCAAAGGTAGGGCATAACTCTACTATTATCCACCATAGGATGTGGATATTGATGATTGCCGTTAAAAAATAGTGGGTACAGGTTTATAGTGGTTCAATCCAACGCCAGGCGTGTAGGTGTAACTTTCAACAAGTTCTTACATCTACAGGTTATCGACCTGTCAGTTTTACAGTGATGCGTTCATTTCTGGTATTTATTTGTATGCTACCGTTTTCCCTTATTTTAATGTCCTTATCATTGAAGCAGGTAACGATAATCAGTGTTTCCCAATTGCATTCGAATCTTACACAAGACCTCTAAAAACTGAATTGAATAATGAAGAATTTAAAGCTGCCGTTATACAATTATTATAAGGAAGGAATATCAGAGGCCTTGTGTAGGATTCTTAATAAGGTTAGAACCCTCTCTCTCTCTCTCTCAGAGGTAAACTCTTTTCGACTTAAGGATCTCAGTGAACTAATCAGAGGAGATAACATAATCCACAAATTA